ACCATACTTGTATTGGAACACCATTCATTAAATTCCTTACATAGAGTTAATTTTTCTACCAGTCTCCAAACATTGTTAAATTAATCAAAAAGTAGTTGTATCAGGAATTTCATATTTTTAAAACATATCACCGAAAGTGTTTTATCCTTCATGAAACACTAATGTAATTTATCAATTATATTTTATTTTAACAATGTATGTATGTATTTTAACAAATTAAATGTAATTTTTATTGTATTTTAATTTTCATGTATCATTGTATTTGTTGCTATTTGCAACTTTATAGTTTTATTTTTTTTTATTTGACTTTAAATGGGTTTGTTGTAACAGTGGCAGTAATCATGCATTCATGAGAATGCTACTGTAAGATTATAAAAACTAAAAAAACAACAAAATGTTCAATGTTTTAGCTGATGAATAATACTATATGTTCTTCTGTTACTTTATCATTAAGCCATACAATAAAGTTTAAATAAAATTCTCTTTTGTTCATTATTTGTCTAACCATTTGTTTCACATAAAGTAAAATTATTAATTCTGTAACATAAATTATTGATACTGAAATACTCCTCATTTGTTTTGAATATTGTGTATTTAACTTTGATTTACAAATCTATTTAATTACATAAAAAAATGTAAAAAAGTAAACACATTTGTCAAATACTTGGCAATTCTNCTTTTAACTTATATTTGTTTTAAATATTTTAAAATAAATTATTATTTATTACTAAAATACTGATTTATTTAAATTTACCAAAATAATACAAAAATTGAGCCAAAATTTCATTTCAAAATTGGTTGAGGGACAAAAGAAGCTATTCATATGATACTTTCCTTTTTCCTCTTGACCTCTCATTGTGAGAGACTTCTAGCTGTGTGTATATTTCTTATATATTATCACCCTCCAGTTTTTGTAGAAACTGCTTTTTTTAAAATCATAAAAATATGTAAATTTTAAAAAAATTGTTTTGTATCAAAGAGTGAAAAAAATTATGCTGTTATAATTTTTTAAAACATACATTTATGTTTTATTATAAAGAAAATTTTAAGTACTTATTTAACTTCCTTTGTATCATGTCCTCAAATCATGAAACTCAATTTTCAGTCACATCTAATTCAGATAGAAAGCTGAAACTTTGAGGATGTAAATAAGTCAATAACAATGCATTTTAATGATGTTTTAGATGGCTTCAACCAAAACCAGATAAACATGACCAAATGTAGAATTTAATTATGGTGTTTGTGTATGTGTAAAGACACTATACTGATGTACAGGTGCTCCTCTACTTATGAACAAATTGACAGTAAAAATAAATTTAAATTTTGCATGGATTGTAAAGTTCTCTTTTCACTTGTGGGAGCTGTTGAAGTCAGCCTTTGGCCAGTAATACATAATAAATTTTTAATGACTAATTAATCTGGGCTTATTTCTATTGCATATAAACATTATTCATTTTACATAAATTGAAGTTCCATTGCCACTCTTAAGATGGCACTGAAGTTGGTAATGTTGAACTAATGGCAATTTTTTTGCTACTGTTTGCAATTTTTATAAACTTTTGCAATTACTGATCAAAAATGCACCCAAAACGTAATAGTAAATCCAGCAGTGGAGATAAATGCAAGAAGTGTGACTATTACCATGGAAACTAAACTGGACATTATAAAACAAAGTGCATTAGGTGAAAAAAAAACTGCATTTAAAACACCTGCTAGTAAGCAGTAGGGAATAAATAAACAAGCATAATGAATTCTATTAGGTACACTAAAGGATAAAACATTAATAATAAGTGGTTATTCTGTGTACAAATGTACTTTCTAGGTCAGTTTTTGAATTACAACCTCAGAAATCTAATCTGTAAGTAGAAGAACATCTGTATATAATGAGGGTGAGACCACCCCACCAATCCCCACCCCAATCTTGAAAAAATGTAACCAATAAAAGTATTGTAATATATTTAAAAACTTTTGAATAAAATTATTTACTATAATTATAAATTTACTAATTGACATAACTTGCAACAAACTTAAAGTCTAGATTATTACAGCAAATATCTTTTTAACAATTAATAAATTTTTGTCTTCTTTTAACTCTGTCAAATAGCCATCTTCTTATGTGCAGCGATTTGAACCTCTCAAATGTTTTTTGGACTTCCAATGGTCCTTATTATTGTTCCACTGATCACAAGAAAATGTTTTTTATTAACAAAATTTATTATTATTTTAAATTTTTTCAACACATCGTTTTTCCTTCCAGAAACAACTCCTTTTTAGACCTGGCATTCAGTTTTAATTGTTCTCTTAACTCTTACTTTGTTCATGGATTTTTATTTAACCACTTTACAATATGTTTGGAAATTTTTTTGTAACATTAAAATTCCTAAATTCAAACAGTTTATCAATATACTTTTATGGTCTCATTTCAATTATAAAGAAGCTAATAAACACCTTTGCTCATTTGATTGGTCATTCTTAGAATCTTATTCTCTGTTTCCTAAGATTATTACTGATCTGTATAATAAAATTTTTATTTCAACTCTCAATAAATTCCTACAAATCAAATCCATAAAATTGAAGTTTTGCTCTACAGGTGGTTTTCCTATCATCTTAAAAAAACTCAAGAATTGCCTAAAAAACAATAAAATAAGTGGAAAAAAATCTGACAACCTGCACCACAAAATCTCTACATTTTCTGTGTAATCCAAAAACAATATTATCATGAATGCAATACCATCTTTCAATCATACTTTAATAAAATTATCTCCTCCTTCGATACTGATCCTTGAACTTTTTGGGGTTTCATTCTGAATTTCTCTAGATGAATTCCATGTAAGTCATCAAAGATGTACTGTTCTGGACCATCAAATTTATGACATTTACAACAATTTTAAAAATAGGTTTACTAATATCTCACAATATACCAATTATAAACCACTCTCTCATCACTCTTATACATATCACCATTTATTTTATTTTTCTGAAGTTTCCAAAGCCATAGAGACATTAACAATGTCTTATTCCAGCCTCGATCTTATCCCAACCAATTTTATAAAACATTAGAAAGCAGTGACTGCAGCAGTTCTCTCTAGATTTACAATATTTGCTCAACATAGCTGCATTCTAAAACAGTGGTATTCCTCTACTAAATAGCCATTCCAAAAAAAGTTAAAAATTACTTCCACCCTCTCTGTTGCCTGCCATGCTAAAGATCTATGAAATTTGTATTTACCACAAGATTTATTACCCAATTACAAGTTAACTTCTACCTATCCAGCACTGTGGTCTCAGTCACCATTTGACTTCCACCATTTGAACTCTATAAAATATCTTTAAACTCCATCTATAATTATAAGCAACTCATTTATATCCTATAATTTGATATTAGCCTAGCATTTGGTTACATTCTTCCTAATATTCTTCTTTCTGTGCACCATGATCATTTTAATTTAGACCCTGTTTATTACTCCCAATTAAATAATTACTTCTTATCTCATACCTATAAAATTAAATTAGATTAAATACAAATCAGATATACAAATATAAAATTAAATACAGATCAGAGCAAAATTTTACAATTTTGCTCTGATCTGTATTATTCAACAAGGCTCAATTTTAAGTGGGTTGTTTTTTCAGTTTATATTAACAATATATTAAGTCAACTTAAATCAACGACAATTACCCATGCCAATGACATCATTAATTAATTACAATCCCGATACACTTCAGTTTGATCTGCATTTCTAACAACTCTTCTTGCTAAAGCCAATTTAAGAATCAGTCCACAGAAAACTGTTGTCACGAGTTACTCTTTATTATGCAATACTCCTCAACCTACACTCACTATTAACACATACAATATCAAATACATTTCAGTTAATGACCTTGGTATAATTTGGGATAACAAACTCACATTTAAAAGCCACATAGACAAAATAATAAAATCTCTTACCATACATCAGTGTAACTTTTGGAGTTTCTGTAAACCCATTTCCTCAAAAAGCATTATTCATTCTATTTTCTTTGCAAACAATCTGTTATTGACTATGGTTTACTGATTCGAGTCATGGTGGCCCCACCCTTTTAAACAAAATTTCCAAGGAATACACCACACTAACCTTATAATGTTTTGCAGATTTCCAAGAAACTCTATAAAATATATCTGCTTATAAATAGATTTTGTAAACTTCCCAACACTCAATCTTCAAATGTTGCCACAACTAGACTGGGTCTTCTTGATTTTAAAGAAAGAATTAAATATTTTGATCAAGCTTTTATACTTCAAATATTTTAAAGAATTTATACAGTCTAATTGACTCCGTTTAAAAATACCCCAAAGAAATTTACAATATTCTTCATATATTTACATGCCATTTTATAGGTTATATCTTGCAATAATTTTATTTTTATTGTATTTTGCAAAGTAAGTTTAATTTTGATTCTTTTTTACATGTTACTTTTTCTTGGTTTAAAAATATTTGGGAACAAATTTATACTATGCTTAGCCTTTATTTGTATTCAGGTTTTTATATTACTTGTTGTTTTAATTGTTGTTTTTTTTCTTTATATATATATATTTTGGGTAGTGGAAATCTGTAGTCTTTACATGACTTTTCCGTTATTAATGATAAATAAATAAACCTTTTTTGACAAATTATTTTAAACTGTTTTTGGTAATTTTAACAATCACATTGAGTTCTAATACAAAATTTGATTAATAAATCTTGAAGTAAAATTAAAAGCTAACTTCTATCTCAAATATAAAAACTTTTAAAAAAAATTATTTTAAAATTGTAAATCTGTATAGTATTTATGTTTTTATAAATTTAATAATTAAATAAACTGATTATTACTTGAATTCATAACATAAATGTGTTTATAAAGAATTTTTGGCTCAGCAACAAACTTCCTTAAAAATTTTTGAATTTTTATTTTAAAATTTCATATAAATAAATCAGTATTCTTAATTTTCCACAAATTTTATACTCACAAATTCAATTCACCTCATATTCATTAACTGTCAAGTCTAATAAATGAGATAATTGAATAATTCCATCCACATCAAACTGCATTTCATCATGATCTGACAGATCTCTACGAGGCCGTGATCCAATAAATACTGGTTTAAACTCTGTAAAAAAAAATTTGTTTATATTAAATAGCAATGCTGAATTCAAAATAAAAAAATTAGTAGAATATTTAAATATCATAAAACATTACTTAATTACTTAATTGTTACTTTATTATTACAAAATAAATATCTGTAATTGAATGCCATTATCTGTTTTATATTTAATGAAGTATTTTTAAAATTTACTCTCTCCAATTAACAATTTTAAAAAAATTTATGTTTTTGTAATTCATTGATAAAATTATTTTCATTTGACAATAATTATCAATTAAATATATAGGCTGTAATTAAAACAAATAATCTACCAATTATCAGGCTATAGTTTAGTCTTATTAGAGCCAAATAATTCAGCAAATCTGATTTTAATGAAAGTAATCAAATTAGCAGAGTTCTTTATACAGTAGAACCTCGAAAACTCGGCCCTCGATAACCCGGATAACTCGCGCACTCCGGATAACTCGTGCACACCCTGGCAGGGCAAAAGAATCCTTGATAATTAATTTTCATCATAGATAGCTTTATAAAAGTATTAAACCTTTCATAAAGCATTTTTCTGAGGTCTTTCTTATCAGGTAAATTATTATACACAGTGTATTCATTAATTTTTATTTTCATGTAGTAAAGGCTCTATGCCTTCATAAAGTACGTAGTTTTCCTTTGTTTAAGGGTATTTGGGCAGTTTATTCTCTGTTATATTCTCAAGTAAACAATACATACAAGTACAGTACAGTATTTTCTGAGGAAACACGCATACTTATCCTTTTTTAACCCCATTCCCGATAACCCGGCATTTTCGCAAACTCGGCCACCCTTCGGTCCACATTAGGCCGAGTTTTCGAGGTTCTACTGTAT